GAGGGGGGAAAAAGTCTATAAGGATTTGGGAACAAAGGAAAACGTGAGAGGATGGCGTTTTACTCGATGTTTTTGCCTCTTTCCCCAAGGCTGCTCTCCTTCCCAAGACCCCCTCTCGCCTGCCCTCACGGCCCCAGGTACGGGACACCCGTCCCAGTCCCCTCCACGTGCGGCTAACCCACTCCAACCGTGCTCTGTCATGCTCTCTCTGCCCCCTCTCCTCTGCCAGCTCTGCCTGAGGCCAGGCTTAGCTCGGGCTCTGGGTTGGTGCTGCAGTATCTCCAGCTGCCTTCTCTCCCACCTCTGAAATCTAAACCAGAACCGGCCCCATCAACGCAGAGCCGAGATGTGCAAAAGGAAAAGCAACTTGTATAAAGCCTGCAGACGTTATTGCTCATTCTTTTAACGAGCTTAGAGCTGGGAAACACCATCTGAATATCTATGTTTGTATAGGGCATTGCTTTTTAAGTGACTATAAATCATATTGGTGCTCAATAATCAAGCTTTATGTGAAGGGGAGCTGAACCAGGTGGGTTTCGTGAGCCCAGGGAGCGGTCCCGGTCCACTAAAGCCAAAGTGGGTCCCGTTCCCAAGCCCAGGCAGCAACGAGACAGAGCACGTACAGCTCTCTGTGCAGCCAGCCGCCGGCAGACCGGCGCAGACAGCGAGCAGCGCTTTTACCAGCACCCCCATACCCACACACAGCACTCACAGGGACGTGACGGACGCGAAGGGCCTGATCCTGCTCTTGCTCTCCAGCTGATGGGGCTCACAGCTCACTCGCAGGTCTCACGCTCGTTCACATCACACAAACATCCCTCCAGCAGCTGGCCCAGCCCTGTGTCCTCGCCTGCGCCCAGCCCCAGACCTGCTGTCCCTCTCGTACATGGTCCCAGCCCCCTTGTCCTATTCACCAGCCAGTCTGGCTTCGGGTTTGCTACGGGATCAGGTACGAGCGCAGACTAGAGAGCACACTCATACGGAAAATAGGTGGGAACTGCCCCTTTTATCCCCCCTCCTCTTTACTTTGCCACGCTTGTTCTTCCCCCTTGACTCCTCCCAAATAAACAACCCACCCTGCATCACTTTTCACTCCATTCCTCTCAGTTCTGCTACATCCACACCCAAATTCAGTATTTCCGATATCGTTACCTAGGCAAGCTGGTATCCCTGACAAGGCACAGAGCCTTGCAGGACTCTGCTCGCCAGCAGGTCCTCGGCATCCCTCTTCGGTTATCTGGGAAGTTCGACCATTTCTTACGTTACAGTGACAATATCTTGGAGGCAAATGATTACACAGTTCAGAACTGCTTCCTGTCATGATTTTAAAGAGGATTTGTCCTCTAAGGTCTAGCGAAGTGACTGTCACCTTCGTGGATTCGCACCCAGCTAGGATCACTACTGAACAGGGGATTTATTAGTTTGAACGTTCACAGAGAGCAAACCCAGGAGAGGTGCAGGCACAAAGCACCCAGCGTTTGTATATCCCCAACTAGATCGAGGTTTGAGCTAGAACTCTTGCTTTACATGTAAACACTCAAAAATGTATTCTCAGCGG